ATGGCCAAGGTAACAAGGTCCCAGAGATGGCGTCATGGTAACGACAACAGCGTCATGGTAACTGTGGCTGAGTAACGTGGTAACGGCCATGCTACGTACGTTCAATTTCTTTCGAACCGTGCGTAGCCAATCGTGCTCATTGAGGGTACGCGGTGACAAGCTAAGCAGAATTTGGCTTGGATAGCGCTTGGTTAGGAGACCACAAACCCTACCCGGTACCTCTCACAAAGATCCCCCGTGTAGCCTTAACAGACTGTTGGGCAAGTGCTTTTAGCGAGCGGCTATGAAGGCCGGCACGGCGCACAAGGGGGTGGGTGGCCAGCACCACGCCCGGTCGCCTTTGTCTACCCAGTGACGATGTTTACACACCGCACCAGCTATTCATTTGAGGCTGAGTCGACCTAGGGGAGGCCCAGAACCGGTTCAGATAATCGTCACCGGTGTTGGCCGTGAGCGGGAATCGAACTCGGGCCGCCAGGTTCGTAGCGCAGTGCGCTAACCACTACACTATCGCTCCCCACCAAATGTTGTACACACATCACTACCCAGTGTCTCTCACTACCCAATGTGGTACACACATCACTACCCAGTGTGATACACACATCACTACCCAGTGTCTCTCACTACCCAGTGTGGTACACACATCACTACCCAGTGTGGTAGACACATCACTACCCAGTGTGGTACACACATCACTACCCAGTGTGGTACACACATCACTACCCAGTGTCTCTCACTACCCAGTGTGGTACACACATCACTACCCAGTGTGGTACACACATCACTACCCAGTGTCTCTCACTACCCAGTGTGGTACACACATCACTACCCAGTGTGGTACACACATCACTACCCAGTGTGGTACACACATCACTACCCAGTGTCTATCATTACCCAGTGTGGTACACACATCACTACCCAGTGTCTCTTATTACCCAGTGTGGTACACACATCACTACCCAGTGTGGTACACACATCACTACCCAGTGTGGTACACACATCACTATCCAGTGTGGTACACACATCACTACCCAGTGTGGTACACACATCACTACCCAGTGTGGTACACACATCACTACCCAGTGTGATACACACATCACTATCCAGTGTGGTACACACATCACTACCCAGTGTGGTACACACATCACTACCCAGTGTGGTACACACATCACTATCCAGTGTGGTACATACATCACTACCCAGTGTGGTACACACATCACTACCCAGTGTGATACACACATCACTACCCAGTGTCTCTCACTACCCAGTGTGATACACACATCACTACCCAGTGTGATACACACATCACTACCCAGTGTGGTACACACATCACTACCCAGTGTGGTACACACATCACTACCCAGTGTGATACACACATCACTACCCAGTGTGGTACACACATCACTACCCAGTGTGATACACACATCACTACCCAGTGTGGTACACACATCACTACCCAGTGTGGTACACACATCACTACCCACTGTGGTACACACATCACTACCCAGTGTGGTACACACATCACTACCCAGTGTGGTACACACATCACTACCCAGTGTGGTACACACATCACTACACATCACTACCCAGTGTGGTACACACATCACTACCCAGTGTGGTACACACATCACTACCCAGTGTCTCTCACTACCCAGTGTGGTACACACATCACTACCCAGTGTGGTACACACATCACTACCCAGTGTGGTACACACATCACTACCCACTGTGGTACACACATCACTACCCAGTGTGGTACACACATCACTACCCAGTGTCTCTCACTACCCAGTGTGGTACACACATCACTACCCAGTGTGGTACACACATCACTACCCAGTGTCTCTCACTACCCAGTGTGGTACACACATCACTACCCAGTGTGGTACACACATCACTACCCAGTGTGGTACACACATCACTACCCAGTGTGGTACACACATCACTACCCAGTGTGGTACACACATCACTACCCAGTGTCTATCATTACCCAGTGTGGTACACACATCACTACCCAGTGTCTCTTATTACCCAGTGTGGTACACACATCACTACCCAGTGTGGTACACACATCACTACCCAGTGTGGTACACACATCACTACCCAGTGTGGTACACACATCACTACCCAGTGTGGTACACACATCACTACCCAGTGTGGTACACACATCACTATCCAGTGTGGTACACACATCACTACCCAGTGTGGTACACACATCACTACCCAGTGTGGTACACACATCACTATCCAGTGTGGTACACACATCACTACCCAGTGTGGTACACACATCACTACCCAGTGTGGTACACACATCACTACCCAGTGTCTCTCACTACCCAGTGTGATACACACATCACTACCCAGTGTGATACACACATCACTACCCAGTGTGGTACACACATCACTACCCAGTGTGGTACACACATCACTACCCAGTGTGATACACACATCACTACCCAGTGTGGTATACACACATCACTACCCAGTGTGATACACACATCACTACCCAGTGTGGTACACACATCACTACCCAGTGTGGTACACACATCACTACCCAGTGTGGTACACACATCACTACCCAGTGTGGTACACACATCACTACCCAGTGTGGTACACACATCACTACCCAGTGTGATACACACATCACTATCCAGTGTGGTACACACATCACTACCCAGTGTGGTACACACATCACTACCCAGTGTGGTATACACATCACTACCCAGTGTGGTACACACATCACTACCCAGTGTGATACACACATCACTACCCAGTGTGGTACACACATCACTACCCAGTGTGATACACACATCACTACCCAGTGTGGTACACACATCACTACCCAGTGTGGTACACACATCACTACCCAGTGTGATACACACATCACTATCCAGTGTGGTACACACATCACTACCCAGTGTGGTACACACATCACTACCCAGTGTGGTATACACATCACTACCCAGTGTGGTACACACATCACTACCCAGTGTGGTACACACATCACTACCCAGTGTGGTACACACATCACTACCCAGTGTGGTACACACATCACTACCCAGTGTGGTGCACACATCACTACCCACTGTGGTACACACATCACTACCCAGTGTGGTGCACACATCACTACCCACTGTGGTACACACATCACTACCCAGTGTGGTACACACATCACTACCCAGTGTGATACACACATCACTACCCAGTGTGGTACACACATCACTACCCAGTGTGGTACACACATCACTACCCAGTGTGGTACACACATCACTACCCAGTGTGGTACACGCATCACTACCCAGTGTGGTACACACATCACTACCCAGTGTGGTACACACATCACTACCCAGTGTGATACACACATCACTACCCAGTGTGGTACACACATCACTACCCAGTGTCTCTCACTACCCAGTGTGATACACACATCACTACCCAGTGTGGTACACACATCACTACCCAGTGTCTCTCACTACCCAGTGTGATACACACATCACTACCCAGTGTGATACACACATCACTACCCAGTGTCTCTCACTACCCAGTGTGGTACACACATCACTACCCAGTGTGGTACACACATCACTATCCAGTGTGATACACACATCACTACCCAGTATGGTACACACATCACTACCCAGTGTGATACACACATCACTACCCAGTGTGGTACACACATCACTACCCAGTGTGGTACACACATCACTACCCAGTGTGGTACACACATCACTACCCAGTGTGGTACACACATCACTACCCAGTGTGGTACACACATCACTACCCACTGTGGTACACACATCACTACCCAGTGTGGTACACACATCACTACCCAGTGTGGTACACACATCACTACCCAGTGTGGTACACACATCACTACCCAGTGTCTCTCACTACCCAGTGTGGTACACACATCACTACCCAGTGTCTCTCACTACCCAGTGTGGTACACACATCACTACCCAGTGTCTCTCACTACCCAGTGTGATACACACATCACTACCCAGTGTCTCTCACTACCCAGTGTGGTACACACATCACTACCCAGTGTGGTACACACATCACTACCCAGTGTCTCTCACTACCCAGTGTGGTACACACATCATTACCCAGTGTGGTACACACATCACTACCCAGTGTGGTACACACATCACTACCCAGTGTCTCTCACTACCCAGTGTGGTACACACATCATTACCCAGTGTGGTACACACATCACTACCCAGTGTGGTACACACATCATTACCCAGTGTGGTACACACATCACTACCCAGTGTGGTACACACATCACTACCCAGTGTGGTACACACATCACTACCCAGTGTGGTACACACATCACTACCCAGTGTGGTACACACATCACTACCCAGTGTGGTACACACATCACTACCCAGTGTCTCTCACTGCCCAGTGAGGTACACACATCATTACCCAGTGTGGTACACACATCACTACCCAGTGTGGTACACACATCACTACCCAGTGTCTCTCACTACCCAGTGTGGTACACACATCATTACCCAGTGTGGTACACACATCACTACCCAGTGTCTCTCACTACCCAGTGTGGTACACACATCACTACCCAGTGTGGTACACACATCACTACCCAGTGTCTCTCACTACCCAGTGTGGTACACACATCATTACCCAGTGTGGTACACACATCATTACCCAGTGTGGTACACACATCACTACCCAGTGTCTCTCACTACCCAGTGTGGTACACGCGGTCAAATAACCCTCACGATGGTAACGCGGTACTGTACATAGGAGGCTGAAATGGTGAACATGGAAAGATGGTGTGGCCATGGTGACCATGGGAACAGGTTGACATCGTTTCAGGGTCACGGGGTAACAACGGTGGCGGCAGGTACCTGCCCCGTGCCGAGGTCACCAAGTCACGGCAACGTGGCAACCACGGCAGCCACGGCAACGCGGCGGCACGGTAAGGAGGTCGCCGTGGCAACGCGGCGCGAGGTTGCCAGGGCGATGGGACTCACCTTGCGCTGCTGCTTCTCCCAGGCGGGGTCGAGCAGCAGGTCGCGGTCCCATGCGTCCTCGTGCTGCTGCTGCTGCTGCAGCTGCAGGGAGCCGTCCCCCCCCTCTTCCTCCATCACCGCACCTCCTCCTCCTCCTCCGTGGCTGTTCACATCCAGCTGCTGCTGCTGCTGCTGCTCCATGTCAGGCTCGATCCACTGCTAGGCTCACAAGCACACGGGTGGTGGTGGTGGGTAAAGCGGCGTGGTGGTACTACAAAGTTCTGAAAAGAAAAGGAGTGTAACTGCGTTTCGATGTGTTCACCATCTGCACCACAAATGAGGAGCTGACCAAACACTACACGGCCGATAAATCAGTCTGGTACCTGTCGGCTAGATATGCGTTAGTCAATGTTAGTCGTGTTAATGTTGGTAGTGTCAATACTGTTAGTCGTGTTAATGTTGGTAGTGTTGCGATCTATCGCTGCTGTGTGTGTGTGTGATGATGTTGTTGGATGTTGTACAGTATTGGCGATTGTATGAGTGTCAGTACAGCTTGCTTGTGCCAATGCAGCCGTGTCAGTGTTGTGTATGTGTCAGTGTGTGTCAGTGTTGTGTGTGTGTCAGTGCTGTGTGTGTGTCAGTGTGTGTGTGTGTCAGTGTGTGTGTGTCAGTGTTGTGTGTCAGTGCTGTGTGTGTGTCTGTGTGTGTGTCAGTCCTGTGTGTCAGTGTGTGTGTCCGTGTGTGTGTCAGTGCTGTGTGTGTGTCAGTGCTGTGTGTGTGTCAGTGCTGTGTGTCAGTGTCTGTGTGTCAGTGCTGTGTGTGTGTCAGTGTGTGTGTGTCAGTGTCTGTGTGTCAGTGCTGTGTGTGTGTCAGTGCTGTGTGTGTCAGTACTGTGTGTGTCAGTACTGTGTGTGTCAGTGCTGTGTGTGTGTCAGTGCTGTGTGTGTGTCAGTGCTGTGTGTGTGTCAGTGTGTGTGTGTCAGTACTGTGTGTGTCGATACCGCTGCCTGTACCTGCCATGTAAACTGCGCTCTGCCGGTGTCATCGCTACGCGTCGTGCCACCGCTCGCGTGCCACTCATCCGTGTGCCAATGCGGCCGTGGTTACCTGCGTGTCGCTGCTGCTGCTGCTGCTCCTCTTGCAGTGCCACTGCTCTCTTGCCCTCGCTCTCTGCTCGCTCTCTCGCTCTCCGTTCTCTCGCTCTCCCCACGCTCTCTGCTCCTCTCTCTGCTCTCTCCCCACGATCTCTCTCCGCTCCTCTCTCTCTGCTGCGCTCTCCGCTCTCTCTCTCCTCCTCGCGTTTCCCTCCACGCGGGTTCGCCTCGGGAGCCCAAAAATCGCCGCGCACGCCGCCCCCCGGGGCGCGCCACCAGCCAATCAGAGCCGAGGCCGCGCCTACGGACGGCGTCTGATTGGCCGCAGCTTTGGCCAATCGCCTGCCTCAGAGCTCTCCCTCCCGAGGCCTCGCGATTGGCTCTGAGAGCGCGGCGAGGAGCTCTCTCGACCAATCGCCAGCGGGCGTCGCTTGTCGCGCGCCGATTGGCTGCGGAGGAACCAATGGGCGATAAATAGCCTCCGAGCACGTGTGAAGCCAGAGCGCCTTCAAGCCGCAATTGACTGCGGCTCGCCAATCAGGAGAAACCGCCCTTCTTTTAGAGGCTTCCTTATTGGCTAAACGTGGGAGCGGAGAGGTACAGAAGGACAATGGATCACTCAGGAGGAGGAACAACAACAGCGACATCGCCCTCTCTTGGCAGACTGACACCCAACTTGCGTGCGGTGTCATCAGCTTGTGTTGAACAAGGGGCCAGTTGCCGTCAGGGGTGCCCCTGTGGGGGGAGAAAACGAAAACTGCAGTCCACTGGAATGATTGAGGTGAGACGTCAGGTGCTCTGAGATGGAGGAAGCTCGTGAAGGACGCTGCTGGGCAGTTGGAGGCAGCAGCCCTCCAAAAACAACGAGAGGAGCACCGGGTGGCTGAAACGCAGCAAGTTGGCACAGTCGGGGGCACAGCTGGTGCCTCTGCCATTCATCTCAGTCAACCCCTGGGTCTGTCCCGTGACCTCCTGTCAGCCAGCCTTCGACACTTCACGTGGCCTCAAATTGTACCTGGCCTGGCATAGGCGCCGTGGTGACGTCCCCGTGACGTAGTGGCGAATGGCAGGTATTGGTGCGTCGAGATGATGCGGCAGGCAGGCCGCAGAGACAAGGCTCGCACATTCCTGGGAGGCTGGACCGGGTCGGGGGGGTGGGGAGCGCAGTGATCTGGCAGCCCCTCGCTCCGTCACTCTCCTCCCACTTTAACAGAGTCATGCCCACTCAGTCGCTAGCACCGCCCACTCAGAGAGCGGCCTCAATCACTCTCATGCTGGGCCCACCCGTTACTCAGGTAGCCCCATCCACTCACCACTCAGGTAGCCCCACCCACTCACCACTCAGGTAGCCCCACCACTCACCACTCAGGTAGCCCCCACTCACTACTCAGGAAGCCCCACTCAGAATCAGAATCTTTATCTAGACTGGAGGAGGAATCCGATTAGCTATCAAGCTCTTTTTCCCAGATATTCAAATATGGGCGGGTCACTACTCAGGTAGCCCCACTCACTACTCAAGTAGCCCCCACCCACTACTCAAGTAGCCCCCACCCACTACTCAGACAGCCCCGCCCACTACGCAGGTAGCCCCGCCCACCACTCGAGTAGCCCCGCCCACTGCGCATGTAGCCCCGCCCCCTTCCAATGTAGCCCCGCCCACCGGACTGGGAGCTCCGACCTCTGGCTGCACCACGATCCATGTGTGGAGTTATGGAGTCGTCGTCGTAATCATTTTAACCCGGGACAAAACCCAGATGTTCGCAAATGCTTCAGAATAGGGCGGTGGGGGGGGGGCGGTGGGGGGGGCGGCGGTGGGGGGGGCGGTGGTGGTGGGGGTGGTGGTGGGGGGTGGTGGGGGTGGTGGGGGGTGGTGGGGGTGGTGGTGGGGGGTGGTGGGGGTGATGGTGGTGGGGGTGGTGGTGGTGGTGGTGGGGGTAGTGGGGGGTGGTGGTGGTGGGGGTGATGGTGGTGGGGGTGGTGATGGGGGTGGTGGTGATGGGGGTGGTGGTGATGGGGGTGGTGGTGGTGGGGGGTGGTGGTGGGGGGTGGTGGTGGGGGTGGTGGTGGGGGGTGGTGGTGGGGGTGGTGGTGGGGGGTGGTGGGGGTGGTGGTGGTGGGGGTGGTGGTGGTGGGGGTGGTGGTGGTGGGGGTGGTGGTGGGGGGTGGTGGTGGTGGTGGGGGTGGTGGTGGGTCGGCGCCAGGACACCGAGACGATTGAATCACCGGGACTGGAGCCAGCTCGGACCTCAGGGGCCTCAGAGAGGACCTCGTCTGGCATGCTGTTCGCCCCGAGGCCTCCAGCAGCAGGCACGTGTGGTGGGCGCTGTCAGGGGACCTGGGGCGGCCGTGTTCCATCTTAACCGCGTGTCTGCAGACGACGCGACGCGTCGTCGCGCGTGCCCTGGGTCCCCTTGCAGGCGAGGCTGCTCCATCTCGCCGCGCTTGTCCAGATGAAGGATTCTGTCTGAAGGATTCTGTTTTAAAATAAATGCGGCTGAGGACTATGGGGGGGGGGGGGGGGTGGGCGCGCTGAAATGGGGAGGGGGTGGGGGGGGTGGTATAATTAGACTTGAGATGAGGTGATCGTGTTGACACGGGGGCATTTGAGACGATAAATTCCGGGATGAATGTTGGGGTTTGTTGGGTTTTCCGTGACGTCGCTGCAACTTGAGCCACACTTCTCGCTGTCGCACGGCGGCCGATGTCGCCGCAAGGCAGCTACACAATCTCACATTCCGGTGGAGTCGCGTGTCGTCATCATCAACATCGGAGCTGCGATGATGTCTCCTTCGTATTTGTGGATCGGGGCATTGCGTCGTCCCGCGCTGTGCACGGCCTCTGTTCTGGATGATGACCACGGTCGCACCGCTACTGCTGCAGAGTTTCACATTTCACACCGTCAGCTACGATCCGCAGCTACCGCTGCCATGGTCCGTGCAGTGGATGCGTTCTGGGGTGGACCATGAGCAGCTTCGTGGAAGATCAACCCCAAGGGATCTTCTGCGTTGGGTATTTCACAACAAGGCGGTGTCTGCGACTTCCTTTGAACTCCTTTCAGCTGCCACCGTTGAAGTGGGGGGGGGGGGGGGCTCAGCGCGACACCGAAGCCACCAAACGTCCCGGTGCGGACGCGACGCGCGGCCCCGGTGGGGGGGGCCCGGTGGAGGGGGGGGGGGGGAGGGCCCGGTGAGGGGGGGGGGCCCGGTGGTGGGGGTGCGTCCGAAAGGCTGCCACGGAGTCGCTAAACTGGCGAGAATCTCGACTCGCTTCCCGGTGCAACTTGGTCTCACCTCGGGTCGTGATGCCGGGAAGGGGGTCGGGGCACCCAAGAAGGACGGTGGAGCGGTGGCGGAGCGGTTAGCGCCCTGCACGAGGCACCCAGACAGAGAGCCGAGTTCGACCGGTGGCGATTTTCTGAATCGGTGCTCGGTCGACTCGGCCTCAAATAAGTACTACTGTGCCCGGTGTCGGGTGTAAACGTCGCCACTGGGGAGACAAAGGCGGTCGGGCGTGGTGCTGGCCACCCACGCCCTCGCGTGCCGTGCCGGCCTTCATAGGTGCTCGCTAACAGCACTTGCCCAAAACGTCTGTTCAGGTTATACGGGGGATCTTTGTCTTCGCTGCGAGTGAGTGGATGGGCCGAGTCACTTCGTGTTACACAATGGAGACATCGCTCAGAGGTCTCGGACTCCGCCGACACATCTCGCACTCCGCCGACACATGGGTGCAATTTGAAAATAGATTTATTCTTGTCTGGGTACACTTTTAAATTGTGCCACGCGAATGCACCGCCTTAAAACGCTGGGAACATCACAATGAGTAAGACGAGACTTGATTCTTATCGCTCACGATGCAGGAGCATGGATTCGCACGTGTCACAATACAATCTGCACAAACAATACAAATACGAGACAATACAAACGAGATAAACAATACAAATAAGAAAGACAATACAATCTAGACAGATACAACAAATGCAAAGTGACGATACAAACGAGACAGACAACACAACGATGACAAGCGAGCACAACAATAGACGCGTGACAATGGGATGGCGGGGGGAGGGAGGGAGCGAACGAGGTGATGGCGAGAAGCGCTGCTGTAACCCGCTGGTAAACCCTCGGCAGCGCCCCTCCGTGTCCATGCTGCACTGGGCCCGTGTGCGGTGCGATCATGACGAGATCACGAGCGCCACCAATGCCGCTCACTCGCCCAGCAAAGTCCCCGTCGAGTCGCAAGACTCGGGGCCTCTTCTTCAGGAGGGGCCTGCTACTGCCGCCTTCGTGGTGGCGAGGAGATGTGAACTCCCTCGCCTGGGACGCAGGAGACCGTGAGTTCGAGCCCGAACCCTGACGATGCCTGCTGTTGTGTATTTGGAGTCCGCGTGTTTTTTTCTGTGTGCGCGTCCCCGTGGTCGGTTCGCGTGGATTGTTCCCCGGGTCACGCGCGTTGCCACACGGCAGTCGCGTGCGTCGAGATGATTTTTTGACGGCCGCGACACATTTCCCCCAAAAAATGTCTTGCTGTGGTTTTCCCACCTGATGATGATTGCTTGTGTTGCAATCGAAACGTCGTGATTTGTTTTATTTTATTTCCAACTACGTGACTTCAGCGAAAGAACCAAAGAGTATTTCCTCGCACGAGGTTGGTGATGGCATCGGCCGATTTCGACGACGAGCCATCATCACGCGTTGGCCAGCTCGCCTCTGACAACAACAACAACAAAGCGCTCATCGTGGCCTTCACCTGGGTAACATTGGCGAACAAAGTTTAGGTTGTTAAAATAATTAGCATTGGGGTGGTGGGGTGGGGCAATGCGGCAGCCGAGCGACGACTGCCGAGTCGAGGCATGGAACTCGAGGGCCCGGAGAAGTCTCACCACGTGCTCCGGGGGGGGTGTGAAGAGGGGGGGGGGGGGTAAAGAGGGTGGGGGTGTCAAGAGGGGGGAGGTGGTATACAAGCACTCAAAGGGGTCCGCACAGGACGAGCTCGCGAGCCCCCCCCCGGCGTGTCGACGAGGCGACTGGGCGCAGGGCTCTGCGATGTCTCCAATGCGCCTCACGCGCCCGCGGGCAAGGGGTGGATTGGGAGCGAATGTTGCCGTGATTAGCCGAACATAAACAATCTGAAACAACTCTCCCACAGTCCGGACAACACGGTTGTGTGTGTGTGTGTGTGCGGGGACGGACGTGGTTAGAGAATTAAAGCCAGATGGTGGCGGTGATGGTGATGGATTGGGCTGCGAGATCGGGCCCTG